CACACACACACACACACACACACACACACACGCACACACACACACAAACAGTGTAGGATGGCAAACATGCATCCTTGTTGCCCTTACATACAAATGATCTGCTCCGATGTCGCAGGAAGAGACCTTCGCCGAATTGTTTCAGTAATTATGTTTATTAGGTTTTGTGCACGTGTCATGACCAACATGATTGCATTGAAAACAAGCTTAGCTGTAGTGTGTGCCCCAAGATTAATAACATTGGGCTTAATGAAGTGGGAAATTAAAGTTCATCTTGCTACACGTTCATACTTATTAATACATGTTGTGCAGAAATTAATGAGCAATGCCTTGCCATCATCTGCGCTGGCAAACTTAAAAGCATTTCAACCACGACTCTACAAATATACTCAGAGTAATGTAATAATATATCATCCGAGCACTTCACTAGTTGCCTAATTGTTAAAACGTGTGAAAATACTGAATATATAAACTCTTAGGATGAGCTACAGTTGCTAATGATATCCCAAGCAGATGGTCTTGGTGAAATAACGGCAGCTACCTTTGATCTTGCCTAATCTCTCTTGGATAATGACGCAAAGGCCCAACTTGGGGGAAATGCAGGACTAATGCGCTGCTCAGCCTCAGAGAGTCGACRATAAAGAGACGCGAGGAGGAAGAGAAGTGACAGGAATGAATCTGAGTGGAATCTGAGGAGCGTCTAGTGCTGTAGGATTGTGGCATTGTGGGAAGTGACCGTGTTGTTGCTCCGCCGTCACCACAGCTGGGTCTCCTGGGAGTCTGGGCCAGTGTTTGCCATTACCCCAACGCCAGGAGAAATATCACACATAGCAGGACTGGCGCGCTGAGGGCTGAAATGTCAGAGCAAGAGGGAGGTTTTTTTAAACTCTCCCCCCACCCCGACGTTAGGACATACAGCAGCAGGCTGGCGGACACGGCAAACACTCACAGGCACATACGCAAACAGGCACATTAGGGCATACATTTACACGCTTGTGCGCTGTCAAACAGCTCGACTCAAACAAGCACGCACTGACACGCACTTACAGACATGCATGCACTAAGTTTAGGTTTCAATAAATTTGCATTTTTATATCCAAGCTTGTTTTTTACTGCCAAATCAACTGATCTCTTCTTTCTCTCTCTGTTTTTGTCCCCCAGCCATGTCCGGCCTGGTTGTCCCTCCAATGTAAATGCACTTTTGTCATCTCAAGCACCAGTCGACACACTACCACTTCACAGGACACCTCCCCCCCTCTCGCCCCCAAGCACACTGCAAAACGCTGGTGTATTGTATAGTCAATCGCTTGTTCTACGGAAAGAAAAAAAAAAGACTTTTTTAATGACTGTCACAACCTACAGGAAAAAAAAAGAATTTCACGAGGAACAATGTTTTTTTTCTGTGGGATTTTTTTTTCTTTTTTTCGTTCTCTCCCACATTTTACTCCCCTTGAAGAGGACGCAGGATGATGAAGGATTTATTTTGTATACCTGTCGAGCTGTGCTTTGGCCTTGGACAAGTCCAGTCAGACACTCTCAATACTAAAAAAGGACTGTGTAGACTCACCATCTGGTTGTAAAGTAAAAACACTGATGTACAGTACATTTGCCAACAAATTTGTTTGCCTCAGATTGTTCTGTTTGTTTCAACTCTCTTTTAATAGATCCACAACAGTTGTGCGTCTTTATAATGTGACTTTTTTGTATTTTTACGTGTGAAAAAAAAAATACACAGGGGCCAAGACGGTTTGAATTTCAACTGGAAAATTATATGAAATATATAATTTAGAAACTTGATCAAAAAAAGTACAATAAATATGAGTAAAAAAAAAAGAACAAAAAAAAAATGGGGAGGGGCCGGGCAGACAATGTTGTATCATGTTTCATTCCTGCATTTTAACTTAAATTTTGTAATTTATTGTAGCTAGAAATCATCTTCAAAAGAAAAAAAAATCTCTGACTCAACAAGCACACTGATGTGTACAAAAACACTGCTCTGTTGATGAATATGATGTACTTCCACGTCTAGAGCTTCCTTTTAAGCAAGTGTGTTTTGCCATGTTTTTTCAACTTTTTTGCTAGCACTGTAAATTAATGCATTCCTAGGCTACTGTGAAGTCTGTTTCTTGTTGATGAGGAGCAGTCTCCTTTTGGCTCCAACTCCCTTCGGTGTTTTATATGTAGTTAAAAAGATGTAGACTATTGTGATATTGCCAAACTTGTGCTAAATATTTATACATCTGTCTTTTTCATGTTCTTTTAGATCAACTAAAAAAAGGTAAAAAAAAATTATAAAATCCATTCAGAATGTAGGATAGTAGTTCATTGTCACATTTCTGTTTTAATACACACTTGCGCTCACTGAAGGAAATTTTGTAACATATCAACTATAAATAATGTATTTATCTCTGAAATTTTGTATATTGCTTTTCATTATGTATGTATTAATCATCATGCCCTTAATATAGTGATGCAGCACAGATAATTCAGCCAAGAACTGTTGCCTTCATTTGTTTTTCTTTTTGTATTTGATGAAATGCAATGTGCATATACTTCATGTGTATCCTCAAAATTTGTGTTACACCGTCAAGACTCTCTGTCCATTTTTTTAAAGGGAAGTCAAACTTCATTGTTTATTTTTATATTGATTTTAAATTATCTATACAGACCATTTTGGAGAAAACTTTGTTGGTTGTACTGTCAAATAAATTGTTTGTGAACCATATGATAGTTGTTAAGATCCAATAGAGACTAACGTGCATGAGGGACAACCTTGGAGATAAAAAAATGACTCCATCTGTGGTTGTATTTTTTTCTGTTTTGTAGAATGTATAGAAGTCATTTTTACTCACCACTTAAGACTCTGCGACATAGCTTAAATGTGTTTACAGGGAWGAAAATTTGAAATTGCCATCATTTGGAATGAAAACAGAAATAAAAAAGTGATGTTTTATTATTAAAATTTTCAGTAAAATGAAATAACTCGATAGTTCCTCAACTGTGGACTTCTTCAGTTTTAAGCACAGTTTGGATGGCAGACAAACTGACAATCAGGACCAAGAAAAAGACAGTAAGACCCATCYGAGGACAAACCTGTGATTCATCTGTAAGATGTAGTGTTTAGACATTGCTATGGAGATAACTGTTTGAAATCTGTGGAAAAGTGTAACATCCATAAAAACAATGAAAACTGCTCTTTACTCATATTTTTTCAGCAAAGCATTCTGACATTGTGACACATTTTTTTAATGGTCTTTGTATGAGCTCGTCCTGAATCTGTGGAGCTTCAAAGGTTCATCGTAGCCATTCATAAACAGTGCARGCTTTTTATTCAAAGCACCTCAAATGGGGCTCATTCAAATCCCTCATTTCATTGCATTAAGCCACCTAGTTAATAAAGAATCAATACATTGAAAGAGCAAGGTTATCCTTTGTCTATAAGGGCTGGTATCGTTTTGAACCTCTTATAGTTTGAGTGCTGAAAAGAGGGGGGCACTGTGAAATCTATACTCATCAAGTGGGTCAAACAGAAGGATAGAAGTGTTTGAGGGAAGAACAGTGGTTCTCCTTAAAAACAACTGAGCATCTTATCTAGCATCCTGAGTGGTCGCGGAGTGCAGGTCACAAAATGTCAATTTCTCATCAAGGCAACATTGTCCGAGGCCACGTCTGCCTTTAATGCACAATTAAATGACAGCAACCTGAGTGGTAATCAGCATATTGCAGCTTATTAGCCGGCATGCACAGGTCTCACAGCAAACGAGATAGTCCGCAAGCTGCTGATAGCGCAAAGGACAGATACACTGAAAGCAGCAATTTAATTTTCAGCTGCCTTGCGCTTCCAAAAAAAAAAAAAAAATCCCAGATAACCCTGTACGTCCGATAACACACATCTGCTGCCTGACGTTAGTATTTGTTTCGATACACAGGTTTGGATCAGTTACCTTGCCTTCTGTTAGGTAAAAAGTGTTGCATGAAGTCTGTGAACGAAACAAAAGAAAAAACAGCTGAGTGGAAGTGGGAGAGAAAGAAAAATGATGAGGGTAAAAGTTGAATTGGAAAAAAAAAAAAAGACAAGTTAGCTCAGTTGTTGTGCGTTTTAAGCGCCCTGAAGCCTGCCAGGCAAGCTCGAGGTACAGTATAGTCTCAGCAGGTTTCTCTGTACCCAACAAACAGCCACTAGCTCTGCCACACCATTCAATCATCGTGAGAGCCTCTTTTATTGGAGAACTCTAATGGCCACCCTCCACCATGATCTTAATGTGTGCATTAAATATTTATAAATCCTGGGTCAATAATGCCCCATAACCAGAGCCTGACAGACCCCCACAGTACCATGTGGCTGCCTCACTCTCAAACACAGGCATGGGTCAGGGGGTCACACAATCAAAAGGGAGCAAGGCTTACCGCATCCATATGTTGCCACTCTTATCAAGACTTTCCTCAGTACTGGTTATCTGTCAAAGGAAAGAAATATTGAAAGCAATATCGATCTTAACTAGCCTTGTGTTGCCAAGGGCCACTCTTCAAACATCTGCTCATGCATTGTTATATTTCAAAAAAAAAAAGTCCTCTCAATAATATAAGCCCGAGCTGTAATATTGAACATCACTGTGTGACGCAGGCACCCTGAGCATGACTAATAACCGACCTATTATGAAGTGGCACCGGAGGTTTTTTAAAGTCCTGGATATTTCTTCATCAGTGTCGGGTTAATTGTGCAGCCTGGCGTCTRACATGGKTGACTCGCTACTTTTTTTTTCTTTTTGTTTCTTCCGTGTCTCTTTTACGTGACCAAATCCGGCGCTCCTGTGCTGTTCAGGTGAAAGATTGTGCTCCGGTGATAGCGCATACAAAAGGGTGGCCGGACAATAAGCCAGTCAATGGAGAGCTCCAGTTGAAAGCGCCACAATGGCCGTGCATGCTGGGAATTGGGCTGGACGATATAAAGGAATGAAACCTTCATTGAGGCCATGGAGGACAAGCATTCAGAAAAGGGGTTTTGTTTGCTCTTTATCAAYCGGCGCTTTCCCATGAGAAAAAACAATTCGGACTGACCTTAAAAAGAGAATRTATATTACCTTGCAGATATTCTCCCTTATTGAGAGGCTTTTGCATTCACTTTAAACAACATTTTCGCATGTTGTCGAGGCAGGTCGTAAAATTAAAAGGTAGACGATAGTTTATCGCAGCTGCTCAATGGGCAGTGCTGAGAAGCACACTTTGGAGGATTTGCTCTGACAGTGGATTTGTGTCACTATMGCTGAGTGCAGGAAAAACAAAAGTGTCTTCAAGCCTCCTGAAGTTTATACAAGAAAAAATTACTTCTTTGAATCTGCACAAGTAGAGATCATAACTTTATTATGAAGCAAAATAGGGTATCTGACCTTTTTTTTGAACAATTCAGCATTTGAATCAAAACARAGAATATGGCCCCCACCCCTCTTTTATTTTATTTTGTTTTTTTTCCAAACAGTCCCGTAATAGCAAAGCCTCGCGTCTGTGATTCTGTAAATCAGAAAAAGATACTTCTCCCCTGTTAATGTACACTGGGAGTCGGCTTTGCGAGAAAAAAAAAGAAAGAAAAAGAAAAAACTTGTGAAAGTGGAAATTTTTCCGATTCTTGCAAAGATTTCCACTTCGCTCACTACAGTGAAGGAGGAAGAGAAAGGTATCCCAGTGCTTCAGCATCCATTAAACTTGTATTTGGGTGTTATTTGATACTTCATCAATGTTTCAGTGCAATTCAAACCCAAAAATGCAGGATTTAACTCTGCTAGAAWGACATCACTCATTGTGTTTTCCTTCAATATCAACTTCACTTGGCCTTAAAATTACAGTGTTATGGTTGTTAGGTTAGAGCGCGCAGGACTACGGCGATAAAATAATATCACTTGAACTGTATTTTTTTTTGCCACAGTCTCCCACCTTATAGAGCTCCTTTCATAGTAGTCCTCTGTAGTGCTTTGTCCAGTAGTTCTGGATATGATATCATCTATTAATAATGTATTGGCAATGGATTACATAAAAAGAGAGCAGAAATAACATCCAATATTCATGCCCCCTGAGCTTGAGTGTGTCCAATCCGTTTGGCCCATAAAACCTTAGCCCCATTTCCATATCCGCTGTGGGTCACAACAGGTCTGCCGCACAAAGGCTCACAGAAAAACTCAACTCAGGAAAAGGGCAGTAAAAATTGGGTGTATTTCTGAACCCTTATGAAACAGCCCTCCTTTGGAAAAAGAAAAAAAAAAGTGAAAAAGCCCTTTTCCGATTTCAGCGCCTGTGAAAAACCTGTTACTGTATTTCCCTCTTTAATTGTGCCACTTGAGAAATTGACGTGCCTCTGAAACATGGCATGAATCTCGCAGTTATTGCAGTCCCCTTGGCAGGGAATGTTGATACAACATCTGCATGCTATAGAAAGTAATGGAAGTAGCAGAGGTGGCAGCTGCAACTCTACAGGAAGTGTGCCATTTTCAGGCAGCGCTGCTGTGAGAACCACTAACTGCCAGCCTGGTCTTGCAGGCAGCTCTGATTGCCAGGACACTATGACAAACACGCAGGGGCTGGGAGTGTTGCATCCTGGGGGATGACAGCTTCTGTTTGATTGTCAATAAGGCTCATTAGCAGAAAAAATGGAGAATGCGAAAAGAGATTAAATGACTTGCAACCGGGTCCCCCTCATGTTTCATTACAGTGGATTTATCAGAGCCTTTATTATATCAATTCCATTAAAGAAAAATAAAATCCCTGCACCTCCTCAAACAGCAAATCTGCAGGAAAGTCTACTTTTTAAAATGATTTACAAACTACATATTATGCAAGATATTTCGATGAACGCTTTTCAAAACGCTCCAGACATCAGTCACACCTTACGTAAACCTCTCCCCTGCTCTCATTTTAAGAACAGTGGCGGATGTTTTCCTCCATCTTAGGGAAGAACGGCCAACAAAGCAGCGTGTAAGGGCCTTTCCCTGAAGAGTCCTTGTCACGCGGCGCCAAACCTCTGTGATTATCGTTGTTTTTGCAGAGAGTGTCCACGCCTGCCAATACCGCTGTTCCATAAATGAATTTGGCCCCTCGTCAACGAATTACCTAACACGCAGAACTGTGTATGTGTCACATCCAATTCCAACTCACCGGCTTTGGTGGTGTGTGTCAGCTGGAGGACTTAATCATCAATCGTCAATCATAATAAGCGAAGCACATTGATAGGGGTGTGTTTTTCTTTTTCTTTTTTCTCCTTGACGGTTAAATAAAGTGTAAGGGGAGAAGTTAAAAATGACCTTGTAAAATTGGGACCACGATTTATATTCCTAATTTAGTGTATGGATTAATTATTCTTGGTGACTGTGTGTATCAGTTTTCATGTGGCTGAGCTTTGGAGTTATATCCACTTGATGAAATCATTACTCCCTTTCATGAGGAAACACTGGAATAATTTCTATCAGACATACTGTAGCTTGGTGTTTTTTTTTTTTGCTCAGAACCAGCTTTGCATATAATTAGAAGCAAACTTTTAATTAATCCCTAATTGGTCAGTTTATATAAAAAAGGACTTTTCCAGCATTAGTTGCTAATCTACAATTCCCATCTCAGATCATACAAAATTAATCAGTATGACCTGCTATCAGGCTTTTAATGCAGCCACACATACACATTACATGTTAACTGGCAAAGCATGTCTTTGGAACGAGGCTGAAAAATCTGGCTCATATTTTCCCTCAGCCTGATCCATTGCACTCCTCTCTCCCGTCATATAGATCGGAGTCTGCAGGGGCCAGAGGCGCTGACAGAGCCCAGATGCTCCCAGTCTGTCTGGGGGACTGGGGAGACTGGTGCCATGGGGTCCTGGAGCCTCTGAAGTGCCGCCCCTCCATCAACGTGACCAAGGCTAGACCTGCACTTTCTCCAGGCTGAGACACTCTCCTCGCTACGCTGACAACCACGTTGCATAGCCGCAGATTGATACACGCAGATATGCACTCAAAGGTAATCGCTCTCGCGTAATGTATGACCATTCATCAGCCGTTCTTAATTAGAGACCCTAAAGACTGATGCTTGAGTTCACAAGGTTACAATGGCACACGGATACAATATTTCTATTGTTTATGCACGCAAAACACACACGCTTGCTGGTACCTTGAAGAGYTTTTTCTTATTTAATCTCGCTCTGTTTTGTCACGACTGCCGTCAACCAGTTCGTGTCGACGGGAGTCTCTTTGTTCTAATGACACAAACTTTTAAAAAAACTGGGGGCGCCACACGAATCCTATGTCCTCCTGCTTTTTCTCTCAAAACACAAAGATCATTACAAGAGCATCAAAGTATGCCATGTTTGAAACGATAGTTCTCTTTGTAGTTGTGTCGGAGCACAGAGTGTGTTGGTATTAGATGCTGCTGTGGCAGCTGTCGTGGCTGGCTGCGCGGTGCCTCGGTGTCAGGGCCTCAGAGAAAAGACTGTCCCGGCAGACAGACAGAGGGGGAGGAAACCTGATACCGCAGCCAAAACCCAGTCTAATGTCTGTATATCCAGCTATCTATCCCTGTGCCTATCTGTCTGACTGTTGGACACTGCCTATCTGCAWGCTGGATACTCCTCTGACTCCCCAGCAACATTGCGCTGCTTGCAGCTCAGTTTAATACAYTCCAGAAAGTTGTAGCTTTATTTATTTTAGGCRCCCAAAGTTTGCTGGAAAAATAAAAGTAGCTATTTATGAAACAGGATTAATTCTGCAGAGTCCCCACTAAGCGTGCGACTTGTTTCAAAGGGTGCAGGTTGCGCTAACAGTGGAGTTATGAGCCGACATGTATGAAGGGAAGAAGATGGAAGCACAGAGTGTGTTTGTGTTTGATGTGGGGGCAGAAAATTGTTCCATAATGAGGAGGGGTGCCAGGATATGAGATGGGAAGCAGGGAGTTGGAGACAGGATATAACTTATGAGAAGGAAACTAATGTTCGGAAATGCAGAGGCTGTTGTTGTTGTTGCGGCTGTATAAGCCAAAATGTATCTTACCACTATCGGCCATGATTAATACAGCCCGGCCAGGTCAAAAACCCTGCACTGACGCTACGGATGCCACCAACCGTATCCCCGCTTTTTCTGGGGCTCAAATGAGTGTGTGCCGTGTGTGTGTGTGTGTGTGTGTGTGTGTGAGGGAGAGGGAGCGAGAGCGCGCGTGTGAGGGGGTTAATAAATGTTGAATCAAACGCCGCACGAGACACTCACACTCCTTAAGGGTTGCCCATTAGCGGTGTGTGGGTGCATGGGGAGTTTATCAGTGTCTGGGTGATTTATGAAGTCAGACTCAATATCATCCACTTCACCCACACACATATGGACATACACATGTGAACACACCAGCATGCATGGCCACGTTCTCACGCACTCACACGCACACAGCCACGCACTCACGCAGTCTCTCTGTGAAATGGAGGCAGCTATAGGAGCAAAATTAGGGGTTTCACAGAGATTAACAGTGCGAGTGATGAGGTTGTCTCAACCTTTTTAATCTAATTTCTTTTTATCTCTGAGCCAGCATCATACAAAGATGGCCTGTATGGTGAAAAAGGACGATAAAATATTTATAACATTTAACAGTGATAAAATGTAAAAAATTTGGAAATGTGTGAAAAATTTAAGTTTTTTTTTTTTTTTTGCTGTCATGATTTTTTTTTTCAAGGGGTGGGTACCTTTGCAAATAACGCAGCCAATTACTGGCAACATGTTTGATGCTTTGATGCTGGACTTGTTTTAAAAACATCAACCGCACAACTCTAAAGACATCAGTTGTTCTAGTTGCTAACTTCATGGCATTCCATAGAATTTACTTGGCCACAAGCGAAAAAAGGAGGGTGCTTACAGTGCACTTCAGAGTGCGCCTGGCTTAAATGGGACCCCTTGTGGCTGTGTCACAGCTCCCTTCGTTAGGGGGCTGACTGTAGCCTGTAGTCACCACAGGCATCATTAGCCCTCTGTGAAACCACAGACTGAGTCTCATTCTTCATCTGCCTGTCTGCTGCCTCAACATTTACGCCACGATGCAGCTCCAATGGCAGAGTAAGTGAGTCCAGCAGCACGGCAAGAGAGCCACACGGAACTGGTCGGATAAGAAATTCAAAAATGCAGCAAAGTTCAAATATATTCAGCGAGCAGGCCACTTGAATTGGTTCTGTAAAGGTTAGAGCCGAGGTTATTTTTGGAGGGTGCATTATTAGGCTACCTGAGCTGAGAAGAAGAGGTATAACTACGAACAAGTTAGGGCCACTGTGGAGCTGCAGAAGTCAGAGAGGAGAATCAAGAATTTAGGAGTTAAAAAAAGGACTAAGCTGTCACTGTAAAAACATACAACTAAAAGGAAAATGTAGTAAATAAAAAGTTCAAGAGATATTCAGTTAAAGCAACTGTTTTCTMTAAACATGCACAAGCACTGCTGTCATCACCATATGCTCTTTAAAATAAGTAATTTGTCCCAACGGGATTAAACAAGGTTGTGATGAAAATAAAGCAACACATAAACATTTAAATCACAGATTAAATGTGCAGGATGAATTCAAGGTTGAAATGTTGATTTCAGTTTCCCGTTCTGTACTGCCCTCTAATGGAAAACACCACTCAGAAATATAAGAAGGAGCTCTGACAAACCAAGCTGCAGCAGGGAGAAAAGGCATAACAGCATAATTAATTATGAGCTTAAACTGAGTGGAATTCATAGGAAATCAGTGTCTAAATTAAACAGTTAAAGTGATAAAAAAAAGTGCAGATTTGTCATTTTTCGAATTGTATTTATTTAAACAAGTTGAGCAGAGTATAAAGTACATAGGACTTCTCCACTCTAGGTGGATTATAAGGAGAGAGCAAACAATGAGATCTAAACGAAGACAAAACAAATGCTTCACTACAAAGCTTTGTAKCCATAAAATTCTGAGCCTTTATCACTGGATGTTGAACAAAGCATCCACTTGGCAGGAAATTAAAAAACCAACGAGAGGTACAAAGACTAATTCTGCTTAGGAAAAAAACAACAACAACAACAACAACAATGCAAGAGACATATTTTTAAGGGAATAATAATTATTCTTTAGAAAAACCATTCCAGCACTATCTGGCAAATGCAACAGAGACCCACGGGAGCATATGTTTGTAATTCCTACTGTTCTCTGTTTAAGTTATTTTTGTATATTCTAATTCTGCAACAACTCTGTATCACATTAACTATGCAGCAKCTCTATTCTTAGATTTTAAAAAAGGAAGTAAAGTGAATATTTACAATTGATTCCAGTAGTTCCATAGTGTGCGCCAACACACCTAACTTTATGTGCTTGTTTTGTGTGTTTTTTTTAAACAAGAACAAAAAAACAAAAAAACAAACAAACAATAAAAACAGAGCCATGTACATGTATGTGTGTGTACTGAATAAAGGACAGTTGGGCTCTGTCATGCTTCAGCTTTCCCCTCTCTGCCTCTCATGGGTGAGCAGCCATTGTTTGAGATGGTCGCCCTTGCCGCTCATGTACGGCCCACTCTGTYCAGAGCTGGAAATTACTCGGTGACAAGGAATGAGGAGAGGAATCTGGAACAGTTAGACAGAGAGAGCAGTGTGATGCTATGAGAAAAAAACAAACAAACAAACAAACATGTAATTTCATATATATTTTTTGTAAACAGTACGCAACACTTTTATGTGCAAACAAACTTTAAAAAAGGTGGTTTCTCTTTCCTTTATAACTGAACACACACATTAGGCAGAAAAATATATAACTTTTAAAAAACTAATACAAATCCACACAAAACTATTCTTTGAATAAAACCAGAATAAGCTCTCGAGTTCCCACCTTAACGTTTACCATCACTGCAAGTCTAGCAGAAAGTTGACGAGAGTATGTATTATGTATTAAAGAAAGTAGGGTTTACCTCAAAAACGATGCAACTTAAAAGTAACCAACGTGCAGAAAATAGGATCTGCACCGTTTCTCGTTTATTTTTCACTTTTCATGTTCTTGTGCTGAGTGAAAACAAAGTGCCACACCAGAAGTTTTGGGTTTGATCCTGCACAAATCCACATTCGGGGTGATGGCTCAGTCTTTGGATATAAATGTTTTTTTTTTTACTCTTTAATAGTGAAAAGCAAAGAAGCAATCAAAAATTAATGGGCAAAAACACCAGCAGGATGAATATTCAATCAAGAGGGTGTCAACATTAAGATCTGATAACCCTGTGATCATTAAAAAAAGGAAGTCGGTGGAGCGTTTATGCTTGTTGCAGACGACTGCCAGGGGGGTCCCGATTTCTTTGTAAACTAAATGGCTGGAAAAAGATTAAACAAGCAAGCCTAAAAAAAAAAACCTGAGAATTGTGAATTCCGTACAAGAAAAGTGCTAACGGTTGGAGTGAAACACTGGAATTATTGCTAAAATATTCTTAATGCTGCCCTCATTTTATTTTTGTTGCTCTGACAGAAAAGCATCCCAGCCACACTGCTGCTCCGTGACCRTATTTCTCCAATTTAGCCACGTTGCACGCTGAATTGATGGTTTCACTTCCAGCCTTTCATATGAAAGTTGGACAAGCAGTATGTTTCAGTTAAAATCCATCATTAAACCCGCTTCCATATCAACAGCAATAAAACTTTCTGAGCCCCAGATTAACCTTGCAGACAGAAAAAAATACTGCTCGTGTATTCGGATCAATATCATTCCCCGGGTTTGGAGGGAGAGCGGGGTACCCTCAAGGCCTTCGGATCTGCCTCTTCACATAGGGGGGAAAAGAACACTACACCAGGCTTATCAATACTCAAATCCTGGTGAAGAAGAAGTGCCACAGAGAGACGAGGATCGATTGAGCACACTGAGCTTTTCACAGCTGAAGCCCGAGTGGAGCGGTGCTGCTGACAAGTAATTGACACTGACAATCTGACTCTGGATCTGAATCAGGAGCTAAGGGCTCAGGCTTCTAGCCTCACTGACAAAAGGAAAGAAATGTCTGTAAAACAAGACTGAGCACTAYTTTACAGCCATCTAGCAGCGTTGCCACTGGCTAATGTAATGTATAAAGYACACTGAGAATTTACTGCAATGTATTAAAACCTAAGTGTGCTCTTAATTTTGACAGAAGTACTTCTAATTGTGAATGATTTTTTTTTTCATACCCGTTTCAACATGAACAGCAACGGTGGAAAAATGCAGCACTAAAATGCGGATTACACACATTATTTCTTACAACATATAAGGGAGAACATGTGCTTTGCTGCACAAGACGTGCTCTCAGCCCTCACTGAGCACACCGGTGGTGCCCACAGCACTACATGGGCCGAGTTAAACAGGCTTTGATCAAAGGGTTTGATCAAAAGAAGACACACCGCTTGCCCTCTAGCCTTCCATTTTGTACACAGTGGATTCATGGGCAAAACGATGCGGACCAGGTTTCCTACAAGAATCGGAGATTTGTAGTGAGCGTCTGCAGTGAAGACGTAAAAAAGAAAGGAGAACAAAAAGTGTGGGCTTAAAATCATGCTGTAGGTAGAGTTTTACTCCTCAGCTGTTCTCAGAGGGACGCAWTGATTTTACCACTTCATATACGGGAGCACACCTACAGTTTAGATCACATATCCTGCACTGGGAAAAACATAAAAAAATATATTTTTGAGGAAAAACTCTTGACATGGGCACAATTAGTTTGGTGTTCAAAGTGTCTTTTTAAAAAGTCTGCAACAAGACAAAGAGGATGAAAATCAATCAGCACATCATTTTAAAATGTAAGTTAAAGTTTGAACAAACCTGTCTTTGTAAAACACTGGCTAAAGGTATGTTATATACGATTGCGTGTATTTAAATGCATAAAATGAACAGTTTGAAAAATGTACTGATTATTGTTTACTGTTGTGTTTATTCTGTCATTTTACAAGCAATGAACTACTGGCTTTATATCCTTTGATGCTGTGCAATTGATTTTTTATTTGTTTTTTAAATAAAGAAAATACGGGGAAAACTTTTAACCAAATACTTAAATAAAAAAATAACGAGTATAAATTTAAAACTATTGCAAATTAATTTAATATAAACCGTGCGATTGTACAACTGTATTACAGCTCTGTATTTAATACTGTATGTGATGTAAGATCTCCAGAAATGAATAATTTAATACTACCAAAAATAAAATTCTTTATTTTATTTTACATAGCTACACTTTAAAAATATCATCCCTGTATTTCTGCCAAAAATAAATGAACAGAATCAAGTCAGTAAAGACAGCAGTCTGCCTTGTCAATCAATGTCAGCCACACTCACCGGGTTCCTCCTCATAGCCCCTCCCACTGCCCGCACCGCTCTRGGGTTTCCCGCCATCTCAGCGAGGCGTTTATACGAGACGGTCTCTCCAAACTTCACATTCTTCAGAAGTATGTGCAGCACGCGGCTGGTGAACGCATCTTCGCCACGCAGCACAGGACAGAGGAAGAGCGACAGACAGAGGAGAACACAGGAAAAAATAAATAAAAAAATTTAATCTCTCAAACTAAGACAGCTGACAGAGTCTGTGACATGAAGATGCTTTGAAAATGGATCGTGCTCTTTTTAAATCAACTCAAAAAGTGTAAGACGGTCTTTATAAAAGCAAACCTWCACATACATGTCCAGCCTTTCTCCCCGCTTCCTTTCTTTACAGCACTCATTAAAAAAGACTAAATACATAGAAGTCCCCCTCTTTGACCTTAGAACCAGCATTAACATGCTACACAAGCTGATGTGAGAAAATTATTCCTGTGGCAGAAAAATCTAGGTTATGCTTCGGAAAGGTCACAGCTAAAATTAAAAAAGTTCGCTCCTTCATTTAAAAGGATTAAGAGAGGCCAAAAAGACTGCAAATCTGCTCTAGATTTTTAATAATAATAATTTGAATGTTGCAAACCATTTGTGGCAGTGGGATGACTTTGAGGTTAATCAGACCAATTTGTCCTTTTAATTGCTTTCTATTCAGAGTAGATTCATTATATCATCTTCACTTAAATGGCAGAATTCTTCAAATCATCTGCAGCTTAACMGACCACATTAACGGCTTTGATTTCATTAGCACTTTAGCAGTAGCATTATCTTTTTTTTGTCAGGATTACCAGACAGTGACTGAAAAGCATGTTTGTCTAGCTCTGATTGTTGAGGGGGAAAAAAGTATTTAAAGCATCTCAAAACCTTCAGACTCTAATGCACTGAGCTTGTGTAGCAAGTGAAAAACACTTTTTTTATTTTTAAAAAAGGACAAGATGGGGAACAATAGTCTCGTTATCAAAACTGGATGAAATTCTTCTAGTTYATACATGTACTCAGTCATGAAAATTCAATTAGTGATCTCCCATTCTCTCTCATTTATATGGTCTAAGAGAGCACATGACAACTGATCTATGTGAAATCCCTCTAAATTGGCATTGTGTGAAAACATGTCACACCCCTGTCTCTCTTCTACAGAGTGAACATCCTTTGCTCCCCAGGCTCCCTTGCTACCTTATAGTCACTCTCTGCTACACAAAGCCACGCGAACAAGGCAATTTGCCTAAACTGGGGGGAATAAGTGTAAAACCTAAAGGGGATACATTTGATTGATGCACACCCATGTGAGTTCTTTGTCTTGAACAAGGCCCGTAGGTACTGTTTAATAATTTTTCAGGTAATAATCACGCTGTCAACGAGCTGACGGGCTCTTACGCAGACAGCCTTAATGTTATGAGGAGATAAGATACACCGCAAAAAAATTTCTTTTATGCATTGCTCTYCCTCCTAAAGCTTGGATTTGGCCTCATGGTGTGTGCGGTACATATTGATATCACTTTGTCACTGATGGGTGGATGTCAGCAGCCCASACTAAGGTGGTGACAAATCCCTGTTGATGCAAACGTTATTGACAAACAACCAAAGTCGGTGTCGCACCGGCACACTGAGCAACAAGCTATGATGCTCTTTAAACCCCCTTTTTCCCCCACCCAAATCCTGTCTCCCCTGAACACTTCACATCTCCAGGAGTGTGGATAAAAAACAAGTGTCGGTGCTTTCAACTGCACATACAGGGGTTAAAGAACTTTGCCCTCATCAGTGTTCGTGACAGAGACTTCGTGCAGGTCACTCAAGGTGACCAGGAATGATTTGGAGAGCAGTCCCCCAGCCCCATACTTCATAAAGAGCCTAATACGGTGTGTCTGGGGTCAGGACCCTCTTTAGATCGAGGTGCAGTGGTGTCAATTGTTTAAATAAAACTTGAGGGAAACCACTTACATGTTTACAGACGTCCCATAATTATGTCACAGGTCATTACCTACCAYGAGGCCAGGTGATAGGGCTGCTGCACAAGAAGTGATAGATTTAGCTGGAGAAAAATCGAAAGCATCTAGCGATTATGAGGATATTGACAAATATGATTGATTTGCTCATAAGTTTTTGTATGAGGGCAATCTCAAAGTAAAGAAAAAAAAAAGAAAAGAAAATGATAAACTGATTTCCATCAGCCCTGCTGATGAGAGATTTAAAGAGACRACCTCCAGCTGACAGTCACCTCTTACATGGTTGTGAGGGTAAAAAGACAATAGTAGAAACGCAGCTACCTCATTATCCTTTGTGTCTAATAGGAGGGAAGACTTTGACTCCCAGTCAAAGTGTCTCTTGAGTCTTGAGGGATCCATACTTTTGAAGGCTGACGGGGTGCTGATGATTCTCTGATTATTCGATATTCTGAAAACGTTCATTTCCCTAATTCCTCTCCACATCACAGGGGCGAGTCCTGGTGAGTGTCTCATCTCGCCTTGCGCTGTGCACAGGGGGAGGTTCAGGCTCCTGCAGGAACACAGTCATTTGGGCTTTGAAGAGTGCCCTTCCCCCCCTTTGCCGGGCCCCCTCCCTGCACATTCCCCGTGCCGCTTACCGAGACTAAGATCCTCTCGTCTGTTACATATGGATGTATAATTAATGAGATAAGAATATGCATCGTTTTAAGAACTCACGTTGGCGTCTGTGCTTTTCTGGGGGAAGTGAATGTGTGCACACACACACACACACACTCGAGCTAACTGAGCATAACACATGCGTGCGTGCTCTTACCATTCCTTTACCCCTGTTGACCAAACTCGTGTGTGATGTTGCGCGTGACAGTCAGACACTATAGAAAACTGCGCCTCGAATCTCCTTTCATGTCACCTCTGTTTCTCAGGTATGTCATGACAGCTAATATGAAAAGTGGCTTGTTTTGTCAGAAATGTGTAAATAAACATGGCAACACTTCAAGTGAAGGTCACAACTCAATATTACATGACAAGTGCTGCGAGAGCGCTGTCGCGTTCAGGTTCTCCCCAAAGATAACTGAGCAAACAAAAGTTGGTTGTCACAGATTGTAATGACCTGATTAAACTTGTTTTTTTTTCCCTTTGCAGACTGGCAGCGGCAGCACGACTTATCAGGGAGAAATTTGTACCACAAAAAGGCACAATCTAATTATTATTATTTGTAAATCAACATGTGAATAAAATAAAAAAAGATGAAAAAAAAGAAACCTTTTTCATATTTCTTCCACAAAAGACAAATACTCCTGATGCTCACATTTAACATTTTTATACTGCCTTGGCCTATGGTTTTGACTACTGAGAGCAATCCAAGCCTAAATCCTGTATTTACAGAGCCCCAAAACAACAGGCGAGGGAAAGAGGTGGAACACAGCACAATCACCTATTCAGATCAGGTACTAATGAAGAATTCCATCTATCCTGAAATTTAATTAAAACCCCAAAGACTTCAGATGAGATGCGATTTGAAAGAGCCTGGGGCTGGTACACAAGCACTTGGTGGCGAAGGGAATCACACTGAAAGTTGATATCGTAATTGGTCCTGATGTATTTCTGCATTGCCTTTGCGGGAGCGTGGGACTCTTAGCTGTATACAGAGTCTCGACGGAGCACCTGCTCATTGAAAATGCCATCACTCAAGCACTGCAGATCTGCATGAAATTAGAGAGCAACTAAGGCCTGATTGCAGGGGAAGGGAGGCACAATTGTTAAATGCATATATTAAGAGTTTTTTTTTCCCTGAGCACGAGTATTTGTGGGGTTAAATAAGCTCACCTAAAAATCTTTAAGTTGAAACGCAAAGAGCATTTCAGTATGACAAGATTTTCTGATTGTTTCAAAAAATGGCACAGATTTACATCCATAATTTAACAAAATTAGATGATCAGGTTACTGTATTGTATGTTCTCCAAACAAAAAAACAAAACAAAAAAAACCCCACCAACGATAATTAATTAGAAGTTTTTCAGCATCCTCGATCATTAAATCTACAAAGACAACTTCCAGGTGAAAGAACATTAATTGCCCGTTTTTGAGGCGCTTTTCCTTTTACACACCCAAGGTGAGCGATCAAACCAACAATGCACTCATTCAAACTGCACCCCCATTCACATGTTCTCGTTTAAGAAAAAATAAAATAAAGAAAAAGAAAATAAAAGAAAGCTTCCTGTCTGAAAATGTCAAGAGTGGAATTCGATCAGTTTCAAAGAATGTGCCAAGAATCATGAAAAAGCTTGCCAAGACTAACACGCGTGGTAAGAGCTGCCACAGATTACTGAACCAAGTTACAGCTCTGTGTTCTGTTCTCTCCCCGCCGCTCACACACCACCCACTTTTCCTCCACTCTCCCTCTCAGCCATAAAATACTTCATTATAACACAGTGAGCCAGTGAGTGTAAGTGATGTAACTGACAATTAAGAGTGAAAGCCTGATCCCAGTCATGGCTCTGCAAATATTTATCCATGACAGACCTCCTCGCAGGGCGGGGTGGTGAAAGGCAGGGAGCGGGAGACTCCCAGCGGTCTGCGGCTCACTGAAGTACGCCTGGAGCCATTCAACGCAGCGCTGCATCTCGGGGCTCGTTTCTGCCGGGCTGTCGTTGACCACACAGCTCTGGGGGGCCTCGCTGCTCCTGTGAGGGATGTAAGACGGGATGGGGAGGCAAGATGGGGATCAGAGGAGCAATCATAAYACCCAGCTCTTGGTTGAACAGTCCTAAAAAATGTCACCAGAGTGCAATAACATGTGACACAGATGTAAGATGGCACGATTTGCTGCATAAAACTTAAGCTGTTAATCGAGACGTGTTTAAAATCCAAAGTTTTACAAATCGAGGTTCAAGTGAGTATGTGCTTTGCAAGTATAAGAAATAAAAAAAAGAAATATAAAGACACAATCCAGGCAATTCCTACAATAGATTTAACGTAGGTGTCTATGAAGTGTAAAAAGACCCCCCAAAAACAAAAGAAAAATGTGAGAGCAGAAGCTGCAGTGCTTAGAGTGTGTGAAGCTGTGAAACCAGTTTCTCAAAACCAACAAAAAAGACTTTTCAAAAGTTAAGAGTGCAGCTTCGACAAGAGTTTCAWCTCTGTTTGGATTTAGTTTAAAGTTTGAAACAAGAATAAATGGATTATTTTTTCCTCTTTTTTTGGGCATATTTGTGCTGGCCAGCAAAGCAATGCACTTGGACGTGCATCTTAGAAGAAGTAGATGCTTGGAGGAATTTGCCGATGGTTGAGTTGGCATCACTTAACAGCTGAGTTTCTCTCGGCTGCTGACCACCCCCCAGGTCAACGCAAGCAGGCTGACCCATATTTGACACGTAAAGACCCTACTGGGAAGGTCCTCTCTTAGCATGTGCATTACTCCAAAGTGGACCTCAAGCTGTGTTGCGGATTCTAAAGCAGGCCGCCAATTCCATTAACTGGTGTACAGGACTTATAAATAAATAATACAAACCATTTAAGTGCACCTTTTTTTCAAAATTGGCTTATCCTGTATGGTATTAATAATAGACATTTACTTTGTTAAACACACAGACTGTCTCTCTCCTGCCTGCCGTAACAACACGGCCCTGAAGTGTTTTTACACTTCTGCAGGTCACAGTTTGAGCAGCGTTTTATATTGGACATGTGAAGCTGAGGTTTACTGGAGTGTTATGACTGAGCAGGTCAGTTTTCAGAGAACCACTCTGCCTGCTGCTAGTTTGTGGCTGTGTGATGAAAATCTCCTGGGTGCCGTTTAACAGTGGGTGTAAATACAGTAAAAGGTGTAAATACTCTCATTTCTAAATAAACCACACAGCAGTTTATAGTCGAGTGGTGAAAACTCGGAAGCCCACCAGCGGGCTCTGCGCTGAGACCCGCTCAAACAATGGCCATGGCTCATGGCAATCTCTGTCGGCATGGGTGAGTGCCCAGCCAGCCCCTACTTGTCATTGTCTCTCCTTTCTATCCCTCCCTCCCCCCAGCTTTCCCTCCTCGTTTCCCCCTCTCTATTTCTCCATCCTCCCACACCAGCTCTTTTGGYTCCCCACCACCTATAACCCAGCAACCCCTCCCCACCCCTGCCTCCCTTTCTCTCAGCAAGGATCTTCAGGCCACTGTTCCCGTTCTCTCCCCCCTTCTCACCTCCAACTCACATCCTCCACCTCCTCCACCACCTCCTCCTCCTCTAGCCCTCCACATCTCCTCTTTCTCTCTGAGAGGATGTTCCAGACGCTGCACACTGACAGCTCGGGGATATTGTGTGTGGAAATGTTCCTGTTGGACCCGCAGGCCCTTACAATCTACTGGACAAAGGCTAGTGCACCTTTGCTTAAGACTTGGCACCTTTGACCCCCTGCTCGCACTTCAGACTTGTCACCGTGGCTAATTTTCCTCTCCCTCTGCCGCTGCTGGCGGATGCGTCTGTTTTAAAAGGTGTCTGAGCGATACAACTTTGACAGTCGTAAAAGTTAATGCAATGCAGTACATGTTACGGCTGGTAAACAACAGCAAATATAAATAAATAAATGAAAGGGGAACAACAGTGGAGTTGAAGTCTGTCACCTCTAGGTGCAATGAGGGATCGTTTTAAAAGAGCATGTGAGCTGTTGTTTGAGATGTAGCTCCTGGAACCTTTCAGTGAATCCGAAATCAAACCTCATCAAGTGTTTTTTTAAAAAGTTCAGACGGACTACTAATACCCGTGTTCCTTATTATAATAAAAATGTGCAATATGTGTTTGAATGACTACCAAAAGAAAAAAAGGGGAAAATATTGTCCTAAAATATCTGTCATCTCCTATATGAAAATCAAGACTCATAATTAAAAGTGATCATAAAAAATGCTTCAACAAGTTTAAGTTTAAATAAACAATTCAAACCAGGTTGAAGTAGAATTGCTCTTTCATTATCTTTTCACTGCATAAATCATACTGTCCTTCAGCCATTTTCTATTCAATCACAGGTAAGGAAATAAGAAACTAATTCTGAAACTAGCCAAGGATCTGCTGCACTAAAAAGAATATTTCCCCTGATACAAGATAGTGATTTGAGAAAATTTCTAATACTGTGCTCCTGTCACAATCAATTTCCAATTACCATAAATCATTGTTGCGTAAAGTGGGAGTCATTTGGAGTTCCACCTATTCTCCAACTCTAATATAAAGAATGAATTGAGCATTTATATAATATGTTGGAGGTTATTTCATTCAACCTGGACGAAAGAATCAAATGAGACAATGGTAAAAATAAAAAAATAAAAAAATTTAGGATTGAACTTGACAATTTCCTTTAGCACATGTAGTATCTCTCTACCTGCGCAGGACTTCAGTAAAACTTTTTCTATCAGCTGCAGACGTAAGAATGGAACAGGTTAACCACAGGATTTAATTGAAAGGRATCTGGCGAAGGGTGTAATGGTATATTGCACAAAAAGGGGAAAAACTCAGAACTCAAGCCTCAATCCTGTGAAGCGTGATGGCGCTCATCCTGACTCGATCGGCTGTCACTTTTGACACAGCCTGCCAGAGTTCTCCTTCACCAATCATGGGTAACATGGCGGGTCAGAGGATGAAATAGAAAAAGGCCAAGAGCCGTTCAATATTTTCCTCAGCCTTATAGCTGCAGATACTTAACTCAGAGACGTCAAAGACTCAAGAGAGCATGAAAAAAGCCTAAAATGACTGTCTAAAAAGGGGGAAAAAATACAGCATGTCTCTATGAATGTCAAGATCYTGATGGTCTCTGAGCAAAAGGCTGTGATACAATTGTAAGCCACTTGCTCAATGCAGCGCGTTCAACCATTTGAACATCATTCAGATGCCTATCTAGCTACTGTGGCAATAAAGTCRAGAGCTTTAGAAGTGGTAAGCTATGAGGAATGTTTCCTATTCTGTAGCGAGAGGGCACGTTTGGGGTCTGCTGTTAGGGAAAAAAAAATAAAAATAAAAACAACTAGGCCAGATAAACTGCTCTCCAGATATCCAGCAACTCTTATTAGTAAATGTCCACCAAAGAGGCCGCAACACTCAATCCAATACATAAAGGTGGTTTGTGAAATACTGCAGAGTAGGCAACAAAGCACACAACAATTAGGTCTTCTCCCAACTGGCTAGCCACAGGAGTCAGTAAAGGCATGTATTACCAGAGCCTTAACTCTTACTCCATTATGTAGTGTATCCACACCCCAACGCTGCAATGTTTATCTACAACAGACTACTGAGCAGTTTCAAATAGCGTTTTTAGCCTCTATTCTCAAGTGCCACAGTAAGAGATTCCAATTACCCGGATGGTAAGGAGCCAGTGAGAGAGGCATAAAGTACATTAGGGATCCGCTGTAACTGCAGGGACCTTTTAGAGACTCAACTGAAGAGGGCCAAGAGACTGAGGGGACAGTGACCCCGCATGGATAGCCTCTGTCAAAATTTGACCACGTCAAGCACAAAGGCATTATGGGAATCCAGTGTCACCAAGTCCTAATTACTGTCTGTGTTCAGAGCAAATTACTGCCTTGTTCCTCTGATTAGGGAGGAGGCTAATCTTCACCTGTGTACGCCAGCACTGCTGAGGGCCCTTGAGTGTTAGCGCTTCGTCTTCTGTAATTTATTTTTAAATCAGTGCCCGCTCCCAAGAGTTTTGAGTGTTTTGTTGTGAACCGCTTACCATGATCCCCACCGCCGCCCCCTCACCCCTAAATCCTTGACTAAATCCTTGTTTGGTGCCACAGGAAGATAAGCAATAACAACACTTGGGCATAATTGACTCGTWCTCCCCTCCAAGATGTCAGAGCAAAATCATCTCTCTGCATATTGCCTTAGTGTGTCACACACTGTACACTTCTGCTTGTTGCAGATATAGAAGCCAATCAAGTTTTAAAACAAACTAGCTTTATGTTCGAAAAACTTCCTGGTCGACAGCAGGGAAAGGCAAAAGTAAAGAAAAAAAATGCAAGAGCTGCTTTTAGCTTCTTGAACAAGAGGCAACTTTCGTTTGGCTTCCAGCCTCACCCCGGAGGTTCTGCTTTCAAAACCACAACATTTGCAGATTCTCATCTGAGTGAATGTCAGTGTCTCGTCTGCGTGGGGCGGTTTACAGGTAGTGTGTTACACAGGTGTTGGTTTACACAGGAAATGGCACATGCAGCCTGATTGGGATGGTCCCGAGAGACAGAGGCACAAACATAGAGCACAGATGGGTCCAAGGGCCAGTGGGAGCAGCACCTTAATGAATACGCAGCTGAGTACTACACTTCAAAACATGCAAAACAATATTCTAAGGCCGCCGTAAAAATAGAACAAAAATCATCTGAATATCATCGCACTATGAATAATTCATACCATTTCTAAAGGGACTACGTCTAAAAGTCTCTCCCTTGCTTTATTGATGATTCTATTGAATATCTCAGCAGTTTACTGTTTGTATGACAAAGCATTTTAGTTAAAAATGTAAGCAGTTTATTTAACACACAGCTGCGTATCAAGATTTATATATAGCTGGCATTTTTTTCTAATTATTCTAAAAAATTCAACCAAAATATAACAGATCCAGAGAGAGGGAGAGACACCCAGATGAAGGATGCTGCAGTGAAAAAAGTAGTACGGTTCCTGGTGTGTGAGCATATCATGTAAACAGGCTCCAACCGGGGAACACATTTACCATACTGCTATTCAGTGCAAACCAGACACGAGTGTGAGAAAAACGATAAATGCATCACCTCAGATATTTCACACTACCATTGGTAGTGTGTAAAAGCTGTTGTGACAGCTTGGGTATTAGGGCTAGATAGATGGAAAATGTCTGGCTGCTTATGAATGCCAATGTGACTGGGGGTGATGGGTTTGACACAAAAACACTCCACCTCAGAACAATTAGGCTGTTCTCGGGACCCATCCAGTGTTGTCGGTGATAATGGAAAGCTGTGAGGATAACTGGTGATAAATAGACTTTAACACCCTCCTCCTTAAGAGCAGTGCAGTCCTGCAGTCCTCTCATATGCTTAACTAATCATGACTATGGCCAGCAAAATCATACAAAAGACTAATTACTGTTGTACTTCACTTCAGTCTCAAAGGCCTCTTATATAAGGACTTGGGGGTTCTCTTGCCTCTTTTCTCCTCTTGATGGTTATTTTTTTTACAAGTAGGCCTCACGCTAGACAAAAGCATTTAAAAATTGGTGATTGCTTTCATCTGCTTTAATTACATTCAGAAATGGCATTTCTGCCACATAATACACTCCTATTGTTTCAGAATTATCAGGCTTGGGGAGTAAAATCTACAATATTTGATGATGCTCCCGAGCTAAATCGCCTCTTGAAATTGAAATGTGCACAGAAATGCAAAATAAAAAAAGCAAGCCTTTGCAGCCGATATACTGGAAGCTCCTTGGCTTTCTCCAGAATGCTATTATTATGCATATCCAGGTAGAAAGTTAATTAACCCAAAGCTTAAGCTAATTATGGTAGCAGAATGCTATCAACCAAACGCTTTCAGTCAGACAGCTGTCCAGAATTTCATTTGCTAATCATTTGTCTTTTGCCGGAGCATATGGTACATTTCCCCACTATCACAGCAACAACAAACAGATGAAAATCATTAACTAAAAACAATGTGCAATGTGAAAAATCAGACAGAGATTTATAAGGCTTTGTGTCAGAGAAAAAAAGGGGGATTTATGGCCTGGGAAGTATAATGATAATTTTGGTTTTAGCCACTTAGGATTTTAGGCAGATCACATGACCTGAGTGTGCAGGGAATTCAGATGCACAAATATATTGTTTATATCTATATGCAAATGAGAAAGAGTGTTTATCCGTGTAAAATTAATTGCAATTTTCTATAGAAGCTTATGCAAAGAGCTTGTTCTTAACAATTTTTATCTTCTAACACATTTTGYGCCTGGTTTTCCAACACGATATTTTGATGTTAAAAACAGAACTCCCCCAGCCCAGAATTAAATCAATTATTTTCCAAGAAATGCTTCATACATTATTTTTCTTTTCATAAGAACACATCATACAGGCTGTTAAAGGGTGATTGATATCAGCATTGCCTCGCGACATTATCAGGCAATAAAGGCTACTCAGGTTCTAATGCAACATGTCATACACCGGCTCCTGTAGTACATTTCTATTGAGGACCTCACAAGCTAAATTGCTTTTTTCCAGCTCCCCCACATCTCAGCCAGCTTGACAGACAAATTGATCAAAGCATTGTAAAATAATATGCTCACAAAATGTCTCGGGGCAGGAGTCCAGCCCTTTTTTTCATTTTTCACCATAATAAAAAAGTGCTCCGTGATTTCCTCTGTATTATGTGTCTATGCTCTGTGTAAAAGAGGCACAAAGAATCATATTTCAGATAACAGTAATCTCCTGTAAACAAAATGCATATCGTTTTTTTTTTTTCCTCTCTGAACACTGAGGCCATACTAAAAACTAAAGAGGGGAAAACTGCTTAACAGAGAGGCTGGTGCGTAAAGCTCCAACAGTGGTTGTTGAGATGTAATGAATTTGTTCATCTGATAGCGCCTTCAGGGCTGTCGTTAGACTGGCAGAGGAGGCTGATTTCAGGAAATGTTCCTAAGATCAGTTAGGAAGCAAAAGGGGCTTGAGACGTTTCTATTAGAAAAGCTGACGGTCATGGTGTGTAAGCAATACTTCAAAAAGCRTTTAGCTATAATGGCATTTATCAATAACTATCTATCAATGCCACAAATATTTTTTTTCTGTTGCGCTTCAAATGCTCAAATTCAACCAACTGTGAACAAAAAAATAAAAAATAAAACACTGAAAGCAAATACGATCATGCAAGCTTTTAAAGCAAATGCCTGCTGCAGGTCTCACTCTAYTATATGCACAAACATTTATCTATTTCCTTTTTTCCAAAATATGCTCTTAGTGATCGTTTATCACGCTGACTTCCTAAAGCCGGCACCACACCACATTTAAAGCTGGAAAGAGCCTTGTTTAGTATGTCATAAATAAATCAATGGAAATGTCTGATCTGAACTATTACTGCTACAGGCAGGCTTTTGTGAGATATACATGTAAAGCTGGTTGCAAAGATAAGTCTGTATTTTGTCACTTCATCTCGCCTCCCTTAATGCCTGTTTACATTAAGGAACTCAACATACGTAAGGTGCCTCCGGTTCCCTTGTCATGTGACAATACCAGCGTATTCAGCTGGTCGTGATAAAATCTAAACATTTTTCCTAATGATTTCTAGCTCATGCCTTTGAGAACATACAAACGATGATATGATCGAAGCTCCACTTATGACCGACGTCGCAAATGATATTAAACTGAGAAATGATCTAGTGATGCGAATCATTAAATTCATTTGCATATTTCTACTGAACCCGAACACACAAATTAAACCCTGTTCGCGAGGAGACCGGGAAAGGTGCTTGCACATGGTTACAGGACATCTTCCATAATCAAAATTCCATATTATTAATTTTCTCACTTCAACTCATTAACGACAAGTGGAATGTTTTTACTGCTTGATGAATTTTCGGAAATAGCAGACAGTCGAGGAGGAAACACATGTTGAGGTATAATGTACAAGGTCATTAATGGGTTTCCATAAATTAGAATTTAAACGTACATTCCGAAAAGGATAACTTCTTAACCGGATGCATTTGAAATAGTTTAATTTCCCAGATCATTCAAGTTTATCAAATGTGAATCTGTGATACATGGATATTTAATTTCAATCTAATCAAAACTAAGCTGAGATGCAGGATCTGGACCTTTCAAACTGAGGAAAAGGTACTTATTAACGCTGACTTTAATCAGTTTCAGTTGCTTGAGTAAGACTTCCTACATTCTGACAATTTTGAGGGATGGGCAGGCCATGAAACGCAACCACATATTACATTTCTGAGTGTCAGTTGACGCTCCAAACTACCACGTACAACTTGAAGGAAACATAAAGAAACGGGAGAGAACAGTCCACGCTCCCGGTGGCCTTAGCTGACCTCCCAGACATCATTTCTAATCAACCCCCTTGAGGGTAATAAACAAGTTATTTTTCTGAAATTTCAAATATACTGCGGGAAGAATCACAACCACATGCCATCAGAAATCTAATTTCAAGCCCAACTGTATTCTAGTGCCCCTCATATTTCTAGTGCCTGCTCATATTTGCCCAACTTTCTCCAGGATATTTCTTGTGGGATCTACAAAAATGCCCTGCTTCCAATGAGGAATGGTGGCACTCCATCACAGGAGTGGATTCTGTCTGCCTGTAAATTTCACACCTTTGTTTATCACGTCACCAGCCCGGCTGTTGTACAGTACCTTTCAGCAGGTGCGACATCCATTAGGATCTGGATGGTGTGCACACCATTCTCACATCCACTGACTTGGATCGTCCCCAGGGGGCTCAGCAATGAGATGGTCTTCTGAGTGCATTGGCTCTCCTTTTGCTTCTTCATCTTGCTGCCCTGCTGAGGAAGTACAAATTACGTYGTGTTTATTGGCATATTCATGTGGCAACTTTTACAATTTCACACTCATATTTGCATTGAGTGATCTATTGAAAACCAAGTGGGTCACCAACAGAAGATAACTTACAGATCTGAGCACCTAGCCTCCCAACAATGTCATGATGCGACTTGATCCCTACATTACTCTCAAATATTTCTTTTGTGCATGGAAAAGAATACGCCTATCTAACCAATAAATCGCCCATTTTTCCCCTCTTTCTGTTCTATATATCACATAAATGAGAAAAACAATGCAGTCTGTTCCCTTGTCTGGTGGGGGATTCCCAAGATAGCTCGACATTATTTTCAATCCGTCATTTTTGGTTGATGGCCGGGATGTTTTTCTAGCATTAAATTTGTTCCTTAGGGTGCAACTCCAATGGGATTCTGGTTTCCAGCCCTTAACAACAGCAAAAACGTGCAGCTTTTCTGACGACTGAGATGGATACTGGCAATAACCAGACAGCAGTTCCTTTTTTATTTTTACTTTGAGGGACCGAGAGATGATTGACTATGTTATATGTGAGTTTTTGAGGGATGGGGGTTATAATAAATAAAGGTCACATTGACTGTAAGAGTTTCAGCCGAGAAAACCCTTAATTCACAAAACCTTAATCTGAAAAGTGTAACTAGTGCAAAAACAAATTATCTTACATTTTGTATAATGTTTAAACAAACACAGTTCAAAATCATAAATTGTCCAAATATATATTCCAGAAATTCATACAATTTGTTTTACTGAACTGACCGTGGCTGGCTAGAACTTAATTTTTTTATGAACTGAGAAAGGTTATTGTTAATTATTTAATTATTATCAATTAACAAAAAATGTGTTTGTGTCAACCAAAGTGTCCTTATTTAAAATAAAGCTTTACTTGCAAGAATAATTCAAAACATACATTTTTGTAAAAAATTCTCAGGCATTTATTATTAAGAGTGTCAGCTACATTCTGAGCACCTGATTTCTCTCTCAAAAATGTTAATAATAAAACATTTTTTAAAACTTTTATTTACAACTTGCAGTCTTGAATATTAGCTGCCTAGTCTTTAAATGTAAGGAAAGAATTAAGAAAATTAAAAAAATGATAATTGTACTGAGCAATTA